GCACCCTTAGGGACCCCAGGAAGGACCTCTGTACTTGACCCCCATCCCTACAGGTTCAGGAATATATGCTCCCACTGCCTGGCCTCTCTCTGCTCCTGGGGCCTGCTCCAATCTGGGAGATCTGGGAAGAGAAGCACCCTTGGGGCCACCCCCAGGGCCCTGAATGACAGCAAGAGGCAGACTGATTATTGGGCAGAAGTCCTCAGTGAGGCCCCACCTTCAGGCCAGCAAGGGCCTGAAGGCTGAGGGCAAGGCTGCCAGTATTGCCACCAGCCTGGGGACCTGTGGTACCTTTTCTGGCCGCCCATGGACCAATTAGCAAGCACTTCCTCCCTCCCCTCTGAGGTACATGGGCTCAGCCAGAGGAGGGCAGAGGATGGCCAGAGAACAAAGAGGGCAGAGAGAGAATGGGAAGACCAGCTGCAGAGGGGAGTATCCTCTCTGCTGAGAGCTGCAGAGACCACCTGCCTGCAGAGAGGAGCTACTCACTCCTCTGAGCTGTTCTAAGACTAAATAAAACTCTTCTTTTCTTCACCCTTCACTTGTCTGCGTACCTTATTCTTCCTGGACACAGGACAAGAACTTGGGCAACTGGCACCACAGCCACAGAGGTTTCTGGCCAGAAAAATCAATAGCCCCAGAGATTCTGTAACAACTGCATTCCAGCCTGGGTGGCAGAGCAATACCCTGTCTCGGAAAAAAAAAACAACAGTCTGTTCCCTTGTAAATGATTTCTACCATTACTTTTAAGATTAGAAATGGGTTAGGGTTGGGTGTGGTGGCTTACACCTGTAATCCTAGCACTTTGGGAGACAGAGGCAGGCAGATCACTTGAGGCCAGTGGTTCAAGACCAGCCTGACCAACTTGGCAAAACCCCGTCTCAACTAAAAATACAAAAATTACCTGGGTGTGGTGGTGCATGCCTGTAGTCCCTGCTACTCAGGAGGCTGAGGCAGAACTGCTTGAACCCTGGAGGTGGAAGTAGCAGTGAGCCAAGGTCACACCACTGTATTCCAGCCTGGGAACAGAGTGGGATTCTATCTCAAAAAATAAAAAAAAAATAGGCTGGGTGGGGTGGCTCATGCCTGTAATCCCAGCACTTTGGGAGGCCAAGGTGTGTGGGTTACCTAAGGTTGGGAGTTTGAGATCAGTCTGATCGACATGGAGAAACCCTGTCCTTACTAAAAATACAAAATTAGCTGGGCATGGAGGCGCGTGCCTGTAGTCCCAGCTGCTTGGGAGGCTGAGGCAGGAGAATTGCTTGAACCCGGGAGGCAGAGGTTGCAGTGAGCCAAGATGGGGTCATTGCACTCCAGCCTGGGCAGCAAGAGCAAAACTCCATCTTCAAAAATAATAATAATAAATAATAAATATAATTATAAAAAAGAAATGAGTTCAGTATTTCATCTATTTTTTCTATGACTTTATTTTTACATACATAAAATTGTAACTAAAACACATAGTTTGCATGTGTCATTCCTTTTAAAATTAACTTCTTTATCCATATGAAATGTATTCCTTTATAATATATGTTATCTGAATGTATGTCTTCCTTCCCCTCTCCCCACCCCTAATAGCTCTGAAATTTTTCTTTGCATCTTTTATTTATAACAAAGTGGGTGATTTTGTATTATCTTAACAGCTGGCATCAGGATTCCTCTTAGGGAAGAACTGTCACTGTTTGGAAGGTTCTCTTGATAAATGTGAGATAAAAGGTGAAGACTACTTACCTACCCCACCTCCACCTCCGCCCACCAGAAGCACCAAACCTTTGGATGAAGGGGAAAAGCTCCCTGCAAGAGACTCAGGAGGAGTTTGTTGTTCATATGAAAGGGAGTATGAGAGACGATGAAAATCAAAAGAAGGGAAGATAGGGAAACATGAGCCGGAAAAGCAGCAAGAGGATGGAATAAATCAAGGGCAGTGAGGATGTTGGGGATGTGGCACCTCATACGTACTTTAAAAGGTGATGCTGCTTGTGAAGACTAAATCTTTCTATATTTGAGCAATATAAACCCCTCCCCACCTCTGTCATACTCTTGCTCAAAACTGCTTGGATGGGTGGATTCTTTTCAACTGGAATTTCTTAGAAGACAGACAAGTTCTAAAATGGAAGAACAAAATCCACAAATAATTTTATTTATTACTTTATTTATTTATTTTGAGACGGAGTTTCGCTCTTGTTACCCAGGCTGGAGTGCAATGGCGCGATCTCGGCTCACTGCAACCTCCGCCTCCTGGGTTCAGGCAATTCTCCTGCCTCAGCCTCCTGAGTAGCTGGGATTACAGGCATGCGCCACCGTGCCCAGCTAATTTTTTGTATTTTTAGTAGAGACGGGGTTTCACCATGTTTACTAGGATGGTCTCGATCTCTTGACATCGTGATCCACCCGCCTCGGCCTCCCAAAGTGCTGGGATTACAGGCTTGAGCCACGGCGCCCGGCCGCAGAAGTAATTTTTTAAAGAACAAAGAGGAGGAAGGTTCCCTCTCAGCTAACAGTACAAACCATGGTAACTGTTTCAGTTGGGACAGGCTAGATGTTGGTGCAGAAACAAAAACCTCCAAGCACAGTCATTTCAAACAGCAAAAATCTGTTCCTTGCTCCTGTTGCATGTTCACAGTGGATTGCCTGAAGGATCTGCTCTGCGTCTCCTCAGTCCACAATCCAGGCCGTCGTGGAGTTTGTCATGGCAGGGGAAGGGGACACAGAGAATTACACACTGGCTCTAAAAGCTTCTGCCCAGAAGTGACATATATCACTTATGTTCACATATTGTTGTATCAAGTCACATAGTCACATCTAACTCCAAGTGAACAGGAAAGTGCACACATACCATTTTCCTGAAAGACAGAAGAATTAAACTGTGAACAGTTCTAATAACTACCACAATAATTTTTTAAAAAGTAAACCATAGTATGATTACAGGAACTGTGAACTGACAAATAAACCAATGGAATAGAGGAGAGAACCTAGGAGTAAAACATATAGATGGGTGTGTGTGTGGTGGGGGGTGTGTGTATTCGCGCGTGTACACATGCAAGAGCATGCCTGGAGGAAAAGGCTTTGTTTGGTGTGTAGTATTGAGAAGATTGGCTTATCGTATAAATTAAAAAAAACTTTACATCTCTCCTTCTGCTATATAAAAACCTAAACGAACCCCAGAAGATGAAGGCCCTAAATGTGATACGTAAAACTCTAAAGCTAATGGAGGCAAATGTAAACAGAATATCTTCATGACCTTGGCATGAAAAGATTCTGTAATAAGACCCCAAGAGGTACAAACCATAAGGCAAAAAAGAAATAGTGCATTTGATTAGAATAAAATTGAGGGTTGCTGTTCACTGAAGGGTACTACAGAGCTAACAGGCAGGTGACCGACAAGGAAAAATTATTGTGAAACTGAGACAGGATATGCGCACCGCTAGCATGTATTAGGAACTCCTTCAAATCTACAAGAGACAGACAACTGAAGAACGGCTGAAGAATGGCAAAAGTATGACCAGGCAATTCACATGGGGTAAAATCTGAAAAAGTCCTTCCCTACAACTGGGATTCCTCTCACTTCTGACAGACACCCGGGTTGGCTAGAATTCCTGGCAGTGATGAACAATTTCAAGCATGTTCTTTCAGGGATCACGTGGAAGTTTATTTGAGTTTGTCCCAGGAGAGGGGTCGCTGGGCTGTGTTCAGTTTCCCTTGAACTACCAATAGCCCTAAACTGGCTGTGCCTGTTTCTCCACATTTTTTCCCCCAGCACTTGGTGTTATCTGGCTTTCTAACTGTCGCCAGGCTGATGGGTTTAAAAGGGTCCTTCACTGTTCTTTTTTATTTCTTTGATTACTATGTGAAGTAATCCTTTAAACCCATCAGCCTGGCAACAGTTAGAAAGCCAGAAGTGAGAGGGATCAAAAGCAATATTTAGTGGGTGCATAGGTGAAATACTATGTACCAAGCCAGAAGTAGTGAAATAGATGCCTGTACAGCAGCATAAATTAGTATTTAAAACAGGGTGGAGTGAAAAAGGCAAGAAACAGACCAAAATATATATACATGTATGTGTCTGTTTCTTACAAGAGATAGAGATGGAGGCGGAGTTGGAGATAGGGGTGGGAGTGAAATGGAAAGAAATAAAGAAACAAAGTAAAACAAATAGGGAACTTCATAAAGAATGATGATAGTTTCCAAGTACTACCAGGAATGATTAGCTCATTTCTATGCACCTGCTGTCTAACAAGCAGAAGGAAGAACACAACCACTCAAAACCACTGGGCCACCGAGGAGTCCAACTTCCACTCCTATTCCCTTGGCTGAAACAGCTTCTCACACTTTTGCCTGCAGATTCCTGGGTCCCACTCCCAGAGATTCTGATTCAGTGTGTCTGACATGGAGTCTGAGACTTTGCACTCCCAGGCAATTCTGATGCTGCCCTCCTAGGAACAATACCTTGACTAGCACAGAGCTAGACCTCAGTCACAAAATCATACCTCACTGCAAGGGAGAGTGGACCTGTAGTCTGATCTTTCCCAGGAAGAAGAAAGGTTTTGACACAACTAGCCAGTGTCTGCCACACTGTCACATCCCCACTTCTCAAGAGGCTTCCATCCCCCACACTGTCTCCTTCCACATGCCTGTATCCCTCTTCCCTACTAGATTATAAACTACACAAGGACAGGGATCAGCCATGCTCCCTCTGCCTGGCTTAATGCCTAGCATATAGCAGAGACTCAATAAATATGTGTTGATGCCAGGCTGGACATTTAAAGCTCTAGAGTAAGAAAGTGCTGATAAGAATCAGGGAGCCAGAAAAGGAATCTCCCCAGCAACAGGGAAGGGTGGCTCAGAATGGGAGTAAAGGAGCTTATGAAAGAGAAGGGTCTGGATTAGGAAGGCTGGAATGGGATGGAAGGCTGCTGTCAGTCTCCCCACGTTGTGACACACTTAGTACACTGAGTTACCTCCATCTACCACTCTCTCTCTGACCCGTCCCTTCCCCACAGCCAATCCCCCAGGTGGACAGAGCTCAGGAAGAGGAGATAAGCAGTAGGACAGCAAGGGCAAGATCAGCCAAGACTCCATGGATTCACCTGCAATCGCTCAGAGATGTGATGGGGGAAGAATCATCTGGAATCAACACTCAGTCCCGGAGGTTCAGAAGGAATTAACCAGGAACAGGTGCAGGACAAGCTGGATGTAAGCACGGCCACATGTGTGGGAGGCAGGGGGCAGGACCATATCTGGGGACGGGGGAAGGTCAGTTGGTATTTGTCCCAGAAGCTCATTCTGCCCCCGCACCTTCTCTTTGTCTTCTCTCTGTGCCCAACCCTTGGTGCTTCTGCTTAGAGACGAGAATGTGCAATAGACTGAATGTTTGCATTCCCCCCACCCCAAGTTCCTGTATCAGAATTTCCAGGTTAATGGTATTAGGAATGGGTGCCTTCGGAGATCATGAGGTCATGAGGGCTCCATCCTTACAAATGGGATTCGTTTCCTTATAAAAGAGACCCCAGAGAGCAAGCTAGCCCCTCACCATGCGAAGACACAGAAAGCAGAACCAGAAAGGGGCCCTCATCAGACAGAATCTGTCAGCACCTTGACCTTGCACTTTCTAGGTCGCCTCCAGAACTGTGAGAAATAAGATTCTGCTGTTTAGACATCACCTCGTCTGTGGTGTCCTGTGATACCAGCCTGAAGCAACTTGGACGGCATTGAAGCATGAGCCTGTGCTCATCGGGCCTGTGGCCTTGGCCAAGTTACCGTTATCAACTTTGATCTCAGCCCCTGTACCAATAGCGTGAAACCAAAAACCCTCTAAAGCACATCTAAACGCTGAGATTCTAGGAGGTAATTTATACTTCCATGTAACTTATTTTCGTCCCTTTCCCTGATACATTTTCCTCATTAAGGGGTTGGGGGCCAGTAAGTTATTCTCATGAAGATATTTCACCCTGTGGTAGCTCATGTGCAGGGAACGTTATAAGGACCACAGTCCTCCTTCAGTGACCTGGTCCGTTGGCCAGGGGAAGGTAGCTGTCTCCAGTCTGTCCCAATCACATGTCCTTTTTCACAGTCCCCTGACAAGGGCTGTGACTCTCCCATGAAAGCCATATTCTGCAAGAAAGCCAAATTCTCCCTGACACTGTGGCCTGGGCACAGAGGAAAGGACACATCTGAAACGTAGCTTAATTTTCCAATCCATTGGGATTCAGGCCCTAGAGAAAAGACATGCTTTATAATGCAGAGGCTGGGCCTGAATGCCTGGACCTGGGGTGGAGGTGGGTCTGTGATCTGTTCATCCTTCCATCCCCTCAGGGCTGCCAGCAACCAGGGCCCCCAGACAGAGAGACAGCAGAGCCCCCACTCCTGGGAGTCCTTATTCCCAACCCCAGACTGACCTCTCCCGGCCAGACCCTGCAAAGCAGTTTGGAAACAGAGGGTGAGGCCGGGCGACATTCTGTGCTCATTGTTTTTCCATCGCCTTCCTTTCAAAGAGAGGGAAGAAAGGGGACAAAGAGAAAATCAGAAGGAGTTCACTGGTCCTCCCACCCTCCAGCCTCCCGCCTCTCCCCCAGACTTCAGCTGCCAGCCTAAAATCACAAAGCCTTTTCGCTCAAAACCCAGAGAGAGAGGGGGAAAAAAAGAGGAAAGCAAAGGGAAGGAAAGAAGCAGCAGCAAATTTCAAAAGGAGGGCTAATTTGTGCAGCGCCGGACAGCTGCATTTGCATAATGCAATGTGCAGAGGATGTTTGGCTCATGTATTTTTTAGAAGGTTTAACTTTAATTTTATTTAGCCTAAGAAGGGCATGTCACTCAAACTCCGCTGGTCATCTATAAAAATATTTCAATTGTGTTTCCAAGGACCTGTCTTTCTGGCCTAAGTGGCTGGTGCCGGAGGTTGTGAATGCTAATGCAGAGGTCAGGGAGATCGATGATGGGGAGGGAGAGAACGAGAGAGGAAAAAGGAGGGGCAGAGACACCAAGAAAGAGACACCAACACAGAAGAAAGGATAAGGTGAGAGACAAACAAATGTGAAAGAGACAGGATTGTGGAGTGAGACAAAGACCCCTGAAAGAGGCAGGCCAGATAGACAACCATCTCAGGAGAAGGGATGGGTGTTTTAGGGGACCATACCTATCTCACACAGGTGGGCCCAGCTCTCCCAGCACATGGAGCTTGGACCTTTTTTTTTTTTTTTTTTTTTTAACAAGATGAGCATTCTATGACCAAGCTGCCTTCCACCATGGAGCTCTGCACTGGAAGCATTCTCTCCCATCTGTAATTCTCAAAGCAGTGAAGGCACTTGTTTGTGGGCTGTTTGTGTTAGAGACCAGGAAGAGGGAGCTGAGCTTCCTGCCATTAAAGCAAAAATTACCCTTCGACTTCCCTCCCTCATTTCCACCACAAACACTCCAGCCTCCCAAAGAAAATGTTCTTCAACTTTTAAGTCACATTACATTAGCACATAGCAGAGAAGGCAGGGTGAGGAAGAACAGGGAGGGGCAGGAGCAGGATGTCTCCACCTCCCCAGCCCCCACTGGCCTTGAAGTCCTTCAGAAAGACCCTAGACTCTCACAGTCTAGAGTCTCTGATGGACAGATTAGAAACTGAGACCAGAAGTGGGAAGGAAGTCCATGGCCCCAGCTGCCAAGGCCTCCCAGGGTCCAGCTCTCCTGGCCAGAGCTCACAGCTCCTCCTCCTCTCGCTGATTCATCACCCAAATCCTGGGCTCCCTCAGGTTCTTCTCTTGGTCTCAAGGTCAGAAAAGAGATGAGCATCTGCTCCAGAAAAACCCCACTCCAGCAAAACTATTCAGATCTCCTTGCAGCGTTCTCCCTGTCGAGTTGTCCAATCTGAATTTTCAGCTCTCATTTCGATCTGGTGGCACAGCCTGGGGCTCAGGCATTCTGCATCTGGGGACACCTCCAAAGTCCCAGTCTTGGAGATCACAATGTCTGATCCTGGCTATGGCACGGAGGGTCATGCTAGGATGCCCCATAGGAAGCACCCCATCCCCACTGCAAAATAAAAATAAAAATTCCACACACAGCCAGGATTGGCTCGGGCTGGTAATCCAACTCCTAGATTTCACAGACTTGGCCTCAGGTGGGCATTGGGGGAGGATGCTTCATACACATGAGTTGCAGCCTGGAAGGGCAGGAGATTTGGAGCTGGGCCACTGGGTTCAAATCTGCTTAAGCTAATCACTGAAGAAAGTCGCCTAACTTCTCTGATGCAGTTTCTTCCTCTGTAAAAAGCAGAAAAGACGATCTACTTGTCACACTGTTGTGGGATTTCAACATCATGCACACTCATCAGCTGTGCACATGATGGCAAAAGGGTTTGAAGTGCTGTCTACCAGGTCATGATGGAGAGACCACACAGGCAAAGCCCCCAGTCCTGGGGACCTGAGGAGACAAGACTAGAGAAGGAGAGCAGAGCCAGAAGAATGCCTCCCCCACAAACAGCTACTGGTTTTTTATTATTTGGGCTGGCCCTTATTACTAAGTGCTTTGAGGAAGACTCTAATCAGACTGCTGGGAGCCAACAGGGTACAGACAGTCTACTGCAAAATTCTCATTTGGAAGATAAAAAGACTAACACCCAGAGAGGGTGCGAATAGTCCCAGGTCACACAACTGGTCTATGCAGAACCAAGACCTGAACCCAGCTCTCCAGGTTCCTGCCTTCCTCATTCTCCCTTGGGCTAACAACACTGATAGCTTCTGGAGGGTAAAAGCCCACTGCAAACTGTACCCCATCCAAGCCTCGGGAAAGGGCCTGAGCGGCTTCCAGCCCACCAGTTCCCAATGCACAGATGGAGGGGGCAGCTGAGACTGGACTGGGGTAGGAGAAGAGCCTGGGGAGGGACTGGCGCTGGCCACCGCAGCCTCATGGGAGACGCCTGCATATGGCCAGCCAGGCTTGGCAGCCCGTGCACACTAATCCTGCTGTCAGCCAAGCTGGATGTTGGATTAGGAAATGTCACGTTTCAAAGGAAATTATTTCCATTTTCTCCCCAGGAAGGGAAAAGGCAGAAAGACAAGCAAACTCCCAGGGTCATGTGTTGGGATATGGCCAGCATATGGGCCTTGGACAGGCACCTCTCCCCCTCCTCCAGCTCCTCTACAGATGCCCAGAAGTGACAGCAACCACCTCACTCAGCTCATCTTGCCCAAGGACAAATGGATTTCACAGTTTATCAAAGGAGAAAGGGGGATGTCACCAGCTCATCAGCCATGACCCACCTATGGTCTCTTCTTTCCCCATCCTGGTCACAGCCACAGCTTCCCTCCTGCCCAAGCCCCCTCACTCACCTGGCTCCTGGGCCAGGTCTGCAAGAGACATCACCTTTGACCTTCCAAGCAGGTACCCAAAGTTCTGCCTGTGGCCCAGCCCTGAGACCCTGTCTCTTACCCAGGGCTCCACTCTGCAGGCAAGACAGAAAAACTTGAGACCCAAATAGTGAAATAATACATTCTCCCTCTCTGGATTCCCCTCTGTCTATGACTTTTCTGCTTCTCTTCCTCCTCCCCGCCTCATCTGAGACAATAATAAACACTTTGCATTCTCGCTGCCACTGGAAATGGTGGCGCTTCTTAATGACAAAAGTAATGTCACAATATTAGCAATTAATTAATTCTAATCTGGCCTGGAAGAGAGGTCAGGCATACAGTCACCCCCTTATACCTCTGGAGCCAAGGACTAACCTGACAAATATTGTGATTGAAATGTATTTGTATAGAGTTATTAGATACTATCTGCAATCAATCCATTACCATAACCTTAAGCGTCCAAGTTCTTTCATATTAAATGAATTTTCATATCGCACTTCCCAATAAGCACTGCCTCAAGTCAACGCTTATTTATCTAATAACATCATGCAAATATTTTATTATATTTCAATGAAATGTGTCTAAAACTATTACCTTGCTCTGGCTTTGGGTGGGGAGGGAACAGTGCTGGGTGGGAGGTGGGGAGACTTCCCTCTGTGCCTGCTGCATCAGAGGCAGCCCTCGTTCCCCAATCCCATGTTCCTCTGCCCCCACTCCAGGCCCCAGATCTTTCAGGGAAGGAAGTCTGCAAGGAATATGTTTTCTAGCCTTCTGTAGCCCCAGAACAAACTGAAGACTTGCAGGCAAATCTAAGCCTGCAAGGACAGGAGAGAACCTGTTCTAGCCCCAAAAGCCCTCTGCCCCAGGATCAGTTCTGGCTTCATGGATGTCTGACAGGGCAGTCACTCTGGGCACACACTCAGAGAGTGCTGCATTTTATTTAATGGTATCACTGTATTGAAATTCTTAACACTTCCTGAACAAGGGGTCCTACATTTTCATTCTGCACTAAAGGAATGCACAAATTATGCAGCTGGTGCCATCCAGGATATTATTCACTTCAATTCCACATGTACGGGCTTAAGCACCTGTATGACACGCTGCACACCCTAGGCTGTCCACTTCCAAGCTAATATCTACACAGCTTTGTGATCAGAAGAGGCCCTTCCTGGTATGGCCCTTTCTGCCTGGCCAGCTTCACTTCCTGATATAGAGTCACCCAGAGGGGGTGCCATCTTGCTGAGAGGGCGCCATCTTGCTGTGAGGACCCGGGTGACTGTGTCCTAAGGCTGTACAGCCAACAGGTAGCAGCAAGAAGACTGTATCCCAGGTCCTGAACCCCAGAGTCTGAATGACCCCCTGCCATTGCAGATGACACAATCACAAGGCCATCCGAGGCATGAGGACAGCTGGACCTGGTAACAGCACTAGGAGTATCTGGCTCCAGCCCCTCTCCACCTCTTCCAGGATCCAGCCCTGCCCAGCCGCAATCTCTTACTGCCT